AAAGTGATTTTTGCTTTTAATTCCAAAGTTGTAAATCTGTTTAGTCTAGTAAAGTATATTTAAAGCCAACATTTTTTTAATTTTTAAATGGAGTTGGGAATAGTTAAAAACCCCTTATGTTTTTGTGTGTGTGGGGGACGGACTGTTTTTTGCAAACTGTCATAGGGAGATTTCCTTTCACTTTCTGTCCCATAGATATGGCAGGGAGTAATGGTCACTAGTACAAATAGAGTGAATATTCCCAGCATGGACAAGGGCAGTAATAAAAACCGGGGTTGCTGAACCTTTCCGATCCAGAAATGGAAAAAAGAAGTTTGAGGTTAGAGATGTGATGTGGGAGTCTGCATTATAACAGCTATCCATATATCTACTAATGAGGTTAATATAAATAAATCTCGGTATATATACAGCTTATGGATATACAATACTAATGCAGCAGTCTGTTTAGACCACAATGACTTATGCACAGGTTTCTCCCTTCAGAGTGCAGTAGTCTATTGCATTTCTCCACAGAGGAGATGAGGCCAATATAACAGATATTTACTCATTCCTTTCATTCTGCTTCCCGCAATCACATAACCCTTCTATTTTACTTTTCTTGTCAAGTCTGACTTTGAAAAGGGCACACATTTATCCCATGGATCTAAAAATAAGTAGTCTTTTCACTGATTTATGTCCAGACTCATCATCAGGGTCACTACTCTGCATTAAAATCAGACATGCGGTTTTATTTTATTAGTATACTGCATAAGAAAGGACGTCCAGGTTGTTTTTTTCCCCTCCTCCCTATTGCATTTCCATGCGTGTCTCCTCATACAAATGTACAGGAGAGATTTTAATGTGCTTAGAAGTGTAAAAGTAAGCTTGCACAAAGTCACATTGTTGCACATTATGAATGGCTGTTGAACAGTCATGTCACAATCTTTGTTTCAAGGAAAGGCTTTTGCTGTAGATGCCCTTCAAGCACTAAAACCAAGATCTGGAAGGTTAAGAAAAAAATTGTTTAACATGTTTAGTGAAATGTTTCAGGATAGAAATGGGAACCACCTTTTAACTTGCTGACAAATGTGCAACTGGTTTTGTAGTGAAGCCTTAGAGTTTTGTGTTTTCACCCTGACAGGTTATCTTTAAAGCATAACTAAACACTAGAACAAAAATGGTAATGTTTTGCAGCTTATAAGTCAGTGATGGCGAGCCTGTGGCATGTGTGCCACAGAGGGCACGCAGAGACCCCTCTGGTGGCATACGAGCCTAGGTGCTAGCAAGCTGCCTAATTTGTGTGAGTTTAGAGTGCCCAAGGCTGGCAGCGGCAGGAGGATCGGCTAGGTGAGCGCTGCTTTTTAAGGATGATCAAGTGAGCGGTGGCACAGATGGTGGGACAGGAGAGAGATGGACACAATGGCAGGGGAAGAGCCGGGGGGGTCAGTGCACACAGAGATGGTGGGGCAAGAGAGAAGTCAGTGGACACAGGTGGTGGTGGGACCGTAGAGAGGTGGGCACGGAGGGGTCACACACAGGTGGTGGGTGCTGTGGAAGAGCCGGAGGAGGGCTCAGTGGACGTGAACATTTTTAAAACCCTAATGCCCAAACTAAAACACAAGACCAAACTTATTTTTGGTGTTGGCACTTTGAGAAGTTGATTTTCGTTGCAGTTTGGGCACACAGGCTCAAAAATGTTAGCCATCACTGTTAAGTCTTCAGATGTGGAGGCAGAATGAGTTTCCATTTTTTCAGACAAGAAATTTTTCAGCAAACACAGAAAATACCTGTTGGTCTTGCAAGAAGTTCAGTCTCCTTGTCACTTCCTGTAAGCTGAACCAAAAGCATGTATAATTTTATCTTCCTTCTGGAATCACCCCCCTCACAAAGGCAAACACATTTGCAGTCCAGCCTGTGTGGCAGTCATAGCTTCCTCCATTAGAGACAGAAAGTTTTGTTTTTAGCAAGATTACCATGTGTACATTAAGGGGGGGAAATCCTGGAGAAAAAAAAAAAAAGATTGCAAGGAAGATTCTAAGGAGTAGTTGCAATATTTTACGTTTTTCTTTTTATACACCACGTTTAAAGGCGTCACACCACTTATATTTTGCTGGCTGTGTGGCGTAATAAAACATAAAGGGACATATTATGACATTTTATTGTTATAGAGCATTATTATAAATAAATCACTGCTACAGGTCTACGTGCAGTAGATCTTCAGATAATGGCATTTCAGTTGCATGTGGCATCAGTATACATACCACACAGCTGCAGAGTGAGCGGTACCCTGGGCATCCCCTGTGTTGACTTCTTACTATGGGGGGCGTGGCTATCATCCGTGTGATGTCCATCCTGGCAGCTTCCACCCGGAGCTGTCGCTGCTGTGTTGGAATCCGCCCTCCAGGGATAGCCGTGCTGTGAGTCTCTGCAGGAAAATCCAGCCTGACGCTGCGCTGCTGCAGCTGGTTTTTCACCCGGCCGGGATCCGGTTTCAAGCCTATGCGGCTGCCTAAGATCGTGCTTGCCGAGGATCTCGGCAACTGCATCTGCCATAAAATTTTAAGTGCCGTTGTCAGCACTGAGTGTCTTGTGTCCGGGTGCCCGTTGGCTAGACACCCGGGCACAAGACTCCAAAAACCGGACTGTCCGGGTGAAAACCCTAGTTACAGCTACTGTAAAAGATGTATGTAAACATTTGTAAATCCAGCAGAAACATGCCATTGACCAAAAGTGAGTGGCCATGCAAGTAGATTAGTGAAGGAGGCCGCTTTGAGACATATCTGAGAGAGTTACAAGACCCATTTGCTTTGATTGTAGAGATTATTTCTACAAAAACTCTTATAGGCTTGACTTTACGGGAGAGTGGAATAATGAAAGCCACTGTTAACTGAAACTCGCTTGACATCTTTCCTGCAGTTTGCCAGAAGGCAGGTGAGAAAAACAAATTAGCTGGAAAAAGGTTCTGTGGTTTGATCTGATCAAAATAACATAAGCCAAACACTGCACACCATTATGAACCCACCATCCCTACCATAAAGCATGGTGGTAAAAAAGAACAAACAAAAAATGTGATGTCTTGCAATCTCAAAGTCCATATCTCAATCCAATAGAGAATATGTGGCTGGACCTGACAGAGCTGGAGCAATTTTGCATAGAGTGTGAAGATGTGCAAAGCTGATGGGGACATTTTCACACAATTACTGCCAAAGGTGCATCTACTAAATGCTGACTTGAATGGGTATTCACTTTTATGCAAGTTATCGGTGTTTTTTAATCAGGTAATTAAAATCACTTTGTAGAGGTCGTTTTTTTTTTACACAAATCTTTCTGTTGATCAGTGTCAAACAAAAATGACTCGCTGTGATTCAATGTTCTGGATGGAATCTTGGTAAGTGCTTCTGAAAAGGAGGTTGGCAGCTCCTATATTTCACAAAAATGGGTGTAAAGAGACTCTGCTGATGAGCTGAACTGGGAAAGGCAAACGGTAATGTTCCAAGATGGGCAATGAGCTCAGATAAGGATGAACACAACCTTTGCAGATTGATTTTCACAAGAGCAATGCTGGCCATCAATCTATTTGTTCATCCGCAGTGCATTAATCAATGTTTTTCATGTTTGTGTATGTGCGTGCCATAATTTCCATTTTTTTATGGGTTATATTATCGGTTCACTGCTAATCTAACCATATAGCAATATCTTTTTTTATTTAATCCATTTATGTCTGTGCAAGACATGTCGCCTGTCTCCATATGTAGTATATGCCTATAAAACACTGTACACCATGTACAGGGTGATTTTTCTCGTGTACATAGAAGTTTGTTTTCGCCTTTTCTCTTTTTCTTGTCCATTTGAGGGACACAAAGTCTTAAACCTTTGGGTATTACTGCTGCCTACAGGAGAAATGGACACTGGCAACAAAAAAGGGTTAGCCAGCATAGGTTAATCCTATCCATTATCATACCTCAGTCCTTTGCTAGTATCCTCAGAGTGGCTGTGTTTTCTTCAGCTGTGCCGTTCATTTAGAAGATTTTTTTTTAAATTATTATAGTAAAAACCTGCTGATATATTCATGCAGGATATGATAAACCGGGATAGGCAAACTCGGCACTCCAGCTGTGCTGAAACTACATTTCATCATGCCTGTGGCGGTCAGTCTTGCAGTGCCTAATGGGACTTGTAGTTCTACAACACCTGGAGTGCTGAGGCTGCCTACCCCTGTGTTAAACCCTGGCACTCTCCCGTTAGCCAATGAGCGCTGGTACATTTATGCTAACAAGCACAGGTTTTCCCATCTTTTTTTCTGATATTCTACAGTCGTCTGCAACTACTGGCAGATTCAGGCCATATGTGGAAATCCTTCAAGGCTGTTCAGTCACCCAATCAGCACAGGTTCCCATTTCATTATTTATAGTAGTGTTCTCTGTGACAGGCTTGCAGTTGGCAGTGACTAGCCTTCTGTGTTCCAGTTCACGCAGGCTGTTCGGCTCAGGCCTGTATGTCTGGGGATTACTGTTCTAGACCTAATTGTGCCAAAATGCAATATGATTGTGCTTCATGTCCTTACCTACTGTTTTGTTGGGTACTGTTCGAAATTCTGGTTCCCTCCGGATCTGGACACTTCTGTCTAAAACACTTTTGGGTCTGCTCCCATATGTCCATGCCTCGCATAAGGCACTAGAAGCCACCCATAACTTACCCTACTCAACTTGCAGTTAAAGCATATCTAATCCCAAAAGAAATGCATGTCTAGAAAAAAAAAAGAAAACAAATGTATCCACCACATTTAAGGATTGGTAAGCTGTAATTTACTTTTTTTTATTTTGGGGTTTAGATACACTTTAAGGTGTTCAAGGTTCACTTACTGCACCTATTCATGAACATGGCCAAATTGGTCAAAGATCAGTCTTGCCTGCCTTGGAGATCATTCAGTGGACTAAACTGCAGATATATGTGGGACTTTAGACCCTTCAAATCCAGCTGTACCTGGACATAGTTATAACTGTTTATTTCTTTTGTTGTAGGTGATTCATAAACATTTTTACTTGAAAAGAGCAGAGATCATGGCTCAGTGTGAAGACTGGATAGTAGATATTCAGCAGTTCAGCAGCGACAAACGGGTTGGCAGGACGATGTCTCACCATGCAGCAGCTCTGAAGGTAACTTAACGTTTTGCTTTACATAAAAGAGAAATATTCTATCCATATTAGGGTCACCTCTATTGGCACCTACACATGGGTTAAACCTAGAGAGTGGATTCCTAGATTGCTCCAAATTATTTCTGCAGAGACCAGTAATGCGTATATTCCTTGGAGTAAAGCAGGTTGTTGAAAGACTGGGAGTTAGAGGCTAAAAACTAGCAAGGAAAATGTATCATTCTTTCAGTACATCTTAAAACAAATGCAGGTGGTTGATGTGAGCAACTCGGATACAAACTACTCCGCTTCAGAACTTCTAGCATTTCACATTTTGTCCGGTAAAACATATTTTTTAGGGCAGAAAATGCTACTCATGTGGGAAACGCATTGAATTCAACTGACTTTTTCACATCATTGCACTGCAATTAAACAGGTTTGGAAAATTCCTAATGGTAAACTGAAATTAATGGTTACATTGCAATGTGACACAGGCATATGGTTTAAACAAGCCCATACAGTTTATCTTTAGAAAGCAGCCACAGCCTTAGTGTAAAAGCCTGCCCACTGCCAGCATTCTGTAGAGAAGGTCCCTTGCTCTTTGTGGTGAAGCAGTAATCTCTGAAGAGGCTCACCCCCCTGCTTACCTATAGCTCTGCAAAGTTCATGCTTCCTGCGGATTAGAAGGCGTTAGCTCTGACTTAGTAAGGGTGTTTGTGTCAAACCTCTGCAGGGAGACCACTGCGTCTACAGAGGGAACCAGAATCACTCTCTGCAGCATGCTGGAAGATGATAGGCATTGCTACACAGGGTGTGGGTGCATTTTAAAGAGAATGAACTGTAATGCTTTGCACATTTGTCTTAACCGCTTCGCTGCCAAGCCCTCGAACGCTTTAAAACCTTAGCTGTCCACACCTTTTTGCTTTTTTTTTTTTTTTCCCCACTTTTTTGCTTTTTTCTTCG